GTCTGAGACAAGATCATGAGGATGGCTCTCAGCAACCCTCCACCTCCTACTTATGTCCAGTCCCTCAGTAGTATAAAAGTTAGTGCAGATGCAGTGGAACTTTTGCCCCCACCATATAGCCTGCTAGCACTGGTTTACTAGTCATGTAGGCGGACTGTTATGTTCACTCCTTTTGGTGTGAGAATAATCATTGCAGCCCAGGTGGGAATAGGACTCCACTTGGTTCTTAAGTGATCACTATTGACTCATGAGGCCTCACTTAGTAGTGGTAGATGGTGCTCAGGTGTTCCCACCCAGAGCATGTTGGGGTGGGAAGGCAGTAGGCTTCCAGGATCCACCTCCTGTCTCCAGTCCCACTAGCTTCAGGGCCAGTTGATTCCACCCTGAATTGTTTCTTAGTCTAATTATAATTTTAGTTGAACAGCCTTTCCTGGTTGATTATGCTATACATCTAATGAGAACCACTTAACTTCTTCTAATTTTGCAAACTGTATCTTGGGGATTTTATTTAAAGAAAAACATTTGGCACAACAGAAATTGATAGCAAATTGTTTACATTTCTGGAATTCTAATATCATCAGTGGATTTTGGCACAACAAAGGAAGGTACTTCAGCTTTGCTGCAATTACTGTAAAGCCTATAAATTTGAGAGGATTACAGCTGAACATCTCTCAAATCAATGCAAGTTAGATTGTGAAATCCAATCATTGTAGTTTCTTGACATTGAATCAGATTATCAAATAATTGGGTGGGGCTGGAGTTTCAGGGCAAGTTAATCTTTAATATTCACATTCTTTAACTAATATAAATCATCATAATGCACTTTATTCAATGTAATGTAATCTCTCAAATAAGTATTAGCGTCATTTGGTAAAAGAATAAATGCAAAAGCTCCTACTCGATATGAATATTTATCCATTCTATCAGACTAAACAGCCAGAATGAGCATGCTCTTCAGAAAATTATTTTCCTTTGCAATACATAAATAGATTTCCCTGACATCTGGAACTTTTACATCGAACATCTTGTTTTCTCTAGTTGCTGTAAGCTAACTTACTGACACGTTAAATAAAATGCTTCGAATTAAAAAGAACTCCTATTCATTTAATCAATGGTCCTCAGGTCAGCTGTTCAGAAGTTGAAATGGGAATAACATTTAATCACTTCCAGGAGCTGAGTTTGATTTTGACCTATTGCTGGAGGATTGTGGATGGGTCTTATACAACTGTTCAAACATCTCTGACGGCTTTTAAGTAAATATTCTGGTAGGTGTGAATCAGTAGAAGCAAGACACTTTCAAATTTGATGCAGTTTAGGAAATTTGGAGAGATCTTTCAAGTTAAAGGCTTCACAAATGGAAGTAACAGAGTTGGGTGGTATTGTGCTTAGATATGCTGCTAATTTGTGTCCATCCAAGATCTAGTATAATTTATTTCTGTTCGTTCATTTCAGACAAAGTCTTATTTTAATAATTGTACAACAACAATTTGTAATTTTCTTCTCCATTTTCCTCCGCTTTTGTCAGGATATGTGGGGACAGGTATCTTGTTTTTCATCTATATTTCAACGTAATCTGGGCATCCCATTGTGAAAGATCTGGAATTTAAAACTTGTGATAGTTGAATCCAAAGCTATTTGCTGCTTTTCTTTACTTTTCAATCCTATACACCTGTTCAGAGATGTTACTACACACCTCTGGAGCAGGTGGGACTTGAATACGGGCTGCTTGGCTCAGGGGTAGGTACACTACCACTCCAATACGAAGGCACCTGGGTCAACATTCAATTCAACTGATCCAGAGGCTGGTCATAGGCACACAGTTGCTAGTAAGCTCACTCTAACAAAAAATAATATCAACCAGTGCATACAATTACTTTATATTGTTTCACAGGATGTGAGGTAACTAGTCAGGCCAGCAATTTTTGTCCATCCCTAATTGCCCCTGAGAAAGTAATGGTGAGCTTCCTGAATGGCTGTAGTCCCTGTGATGCAGTTTCTTCCATTGTGTCTCTTACTCACTATGTTAAGATTCCTTTTAAGAGACATTGTCACTGTGTATCGGAGCATGTAACCTGAGGGTGTAAAGGTCTCCTATTCCATTTTATCCTAGATTCACTTGAAGCATGCTGCTCTGTTATAATTTAATAGCTTTAAGCTTTTGCAGAAGCATGTGTGTCTGTGAATATAATGCTCGTATATAATAGTTATCGTGAATAAATGTCTATTGAATTCTCTGCCTGGTATCTATGCCTAGTTTCTTATCTTATGAGGGATAAAATAAACATTGCTATATGAGGCAAAATATCCTTTTGGAGACAGACTTGCATTGCTTTAGGAAGGTAGTTCCAGGATGTTCACCCAGTAACAGTGAAGGTATTATGATACAGTTCTAAGCCTAATTGTGTGGCTTGGAGGGGAACATGTCATCTGCTGCACTTGCCCTTCTAAGTGGTAGAGGCTGCAGATTTAGAAATTATCAATGAAGGACTCTTGGTGAGTTGATGTGTCACACCCTATGGATGGGACATGCTGCTGTCACTGTGTGTTGGGAGAAAATGTAGAAGGTTGTCCAAGGGGTGCCACTAGAATATCTTGATTGTTGTCAGAGCTGCACCTATCCAGTGAAAAGGAGAGGATTCCATCAGACTGCTGACTTTCTTGTGAATGGAGTATAGGCTTTGGGGAGTCATGAGATGAGGTACATGCAGAAGATTCCCATTAATAGATTGGTATAGAATGTTTAAAAGTGATTTTTCAGTGAATTTAAATTGAGTCACTTGAGAGAACTGGGCATGCATTAAAAACATTTTGAGGATAAATACGTGTTCATTGGCACAAACAAATAATATGTTAATACCAATTATAACTTTGCAGTTGTAAATATTCTTTAACCCAGTTCCTGATATCTGACTTCAGATACATCTGAACTCTGGAATGGTATAACGTACGATCATGTATCAGAGGAATTGGCCTGGGAATTGGCTTGTCCTGTGGAAGTCAGTGTAAACCTCTGCTGGATGACTGGAAGCAGTGACCATTGCATTGATCTGCAAAATTCCTTCCACAAAGTACAACATAAAGTAAGTACATATAATTAGAATTTGAATACAAAACAACCATTGGTACCATGACAAATCCCTAATAATGTTTTTCTAGAGCTTAGAAGATGAGGAGGGAATATGATGGTTAGTTTAAGTGGAGTTGGCAAGATCATTTGGGGAAAAACAGTAATTCACTGGTGGCTGAATCTATTCCGGAGGGCATAATTTTGAGAATAACAACAGAATTAAGGGAAAACCATTAGTTCTTTCCAAAAGGAAGTGGATGACTTTTTTAAAATTGTAATTTATGTTGAGAAAAGGGAACAGGAATTTGATTCATCATCTAACTATTTCAAAAGACAAAAAGAAAAGCAGCAATTTGCACAACTGAAGCTAAAGAAAACATTTTATATATGCTAATATTGAGCCTGTATTTCCTCTTCTGACTAGCAACCACAAATTTGACTCGCAACACAAGACAAGCTTTCTAATTTGAACCATTTCCAAGTTTTCAGATTGATTAGCTCACGTTGTAGCAATTTCAGGGGATGTTTTGCACTTTAGAAATCAGGATAATAGTATGATTATATAGTATAACATTTATTTTTCAGCTAACAAGATTTCTTTAATGCCAATTATTTCCATTTTCTGATGGATCACTTTGTTCAATAAAACTTTCATGCTTGTCCCAACAGAAACCTTGCCAATTATGATCTGAATGCAATAAACTATATGTGATATTTCTGTGGGGCTTAGCAGCCAATGAACTAGTCCAGTCATGACTGAGGGCACTGGATCAACTGTGGAGAGCTAGAGGTTTGGGGAATTAAACATATCAGCAAATTGATGAAGCCCAGATTACTACAGGGGATTTTCTGAACTTTGAAAGGGTGATCCATTACAGTGGGACCAAAGCTCAAGTTTTGAAATACTTAGGGAGATTTTGCCAAGAATCAATTACGGAATTCAATCTCAATAAGCAAATGTTAAACTGCAGTTCTTTTATTTTATTAAACGTGTGATTTGAGCAGCATATTTCTTCATTTATTTTGATATTCCTTCTTTGCATTTGTAATGATGTTTTAAAAATGTTTCACACAAGGAAGAATAAAATATTATCGCTACACAAATGATGGCATGTATTGCTTCTATCTTCCAGCAGGTAAACTGATTAAAACTTTAATAAAATGAGGCCTAATATGAGTTGTTATATTGTTTCATTGTACAGTAAGTGAACACACAGATTAGCATATGCATAAAACCTCACTTCAAATTTGCCTTGGTCCCTTCTCAGTAATAAGAAACCACATCACCCTGTGCTGACTAAAATATTTGCTTCATCTTAGTCCCCAACTGTTGAGCGGTTTGACATCTGCTTTCCCAAGGTAAAGAACTGAGCCTTATTTGCCAGTAGACGTTATCCATTGAATGAGTAAAATTAGGTCAGTTATTTTCTATGTTCACAGGAAACGGAAGTGACCTCTGTATTTCAAGCTATGACCCCTGTTAGAACAATAGTGAGACACCTGTTATTATCACCATGTTATAACATGTGATGCCTTTGTACCAATCACTGATGGCTTGTGGGTGGTGACAGATTGCTGGCACCTATCCTCCTACCAACCTTGATCTAAAGGCTGTTCTGTGGTCTGTGGAGGAGAATGGACCAAAAATAGGAAGCAGCTGTTGTCCTTGATGATAAAAGTAGTTTATCCATCTCATTAACTATATACAAGTTATGTTAACTTGTAGGCATATTGAACACTACTAATGAGAGGTAGTGAAGGTGTGTATTTCCATTGGGGGACCATGTCCAACTGCTGTCAGCCTGATGCTCCACCCATTGGCTGTGTAATGTATCAGAATGGTGGAATTTCAGCACAGCTCAGATTAACCCTTTCATATCAGTTACCTTATACAACAACGTTCAGAATTGCCTGTACAACTGCCTGATTTAGGCTTTTTTTTCTCTTTGTCTCAAGTTTTTTTCTGCTTTTATCAGAGAGTTAATGCAACGTATGCAATTTCATGCAAACCGCAGTCTGGAACTTGAAATCAATGTTAAATGGTGACGGCCATTTAAAAACCAATAAACTCAAAATAAGGAAGGGCCAGTTTAGGATTGAAAAGGAAATGTTTCTTCATTTTCAGGCGTGATTAATGCACAGATTTCAATCCTCGGTAAGATTGTGGAGCTGAACACAATAGCATCGTCTAATCACCAATTAGATGCAATTGGAAAATCAAGGGTTACTCTAAATGAATAAAATTCAGTAATCTGCATGGCTTTTGTCATCCAAATTGTCTTGAGGTAGATGCTTTAATACATATAGTTTTGATTTTTAGAAGTAGCTCAATCAATTCTTGTGTGGAAAATAATGCTGGCTATTTCAACTTTGTTGAATAGGTGAGGTATTCACGTGTGGATCCACATCCAAGGCTTTGCGTAAAGGTAAAACTTTTCCTTTCATTCATCTTAAATAGAATTTGATTTTCTTTATTTTCTAGTTAATGCTTAATAAACACACCTAAGTGTTTTTTTTTGTTTAGTTTGCTCCACCCATGCACATCTTCTAGCTGTTGTCTGCCATCCAGAACAGGAATTCTGGATCTGTTAATTTTGATTTTGTTCAACCCAGATGCGAAGATGAATTGTGATACTCCTACTGTTACTCGATGGTTAAAATCAATCAATCAAGTGCAGACTTGGAGTCAAGGCAGGGATCATTTGGTGTATGTATGGGCTGTGCTAAGTGCTGAGTTTTCCAACAGAGCACTTCTATATTTTCTCAATAAAACATAGAGTTGGAAGTATTTTGTCTAATATAGAAATTGTGTTTTTGGAACAAAATTCTATACTCAAAGATTCTGCCCTGTTCTTCGACACTGAATGTCCACCTCATGCGTACAAGTTTAAAAATGTGAATATTTTATGTCTTTTCAGCATTTTAAACTCAAAGTTTGTTTGTACTCATCACCCTAATGTATTGAACTTTAAACTTTGTCTTATAGTTTACCACAAATGAAGGTGTTTGGGTCAGATGTCCTTTTGCTTTTGGATATTTACCAGGTAAAAATATATTTTGAAGGAAGGTGCTCATTGTGTCATGTGGCCCTGAGCCTCTCAGATCCTGCTGTCCCAGGTTTACTCTCTGGTCAGTTAACTGACTTCATTTGGGGCAGAACTTGTAACACTACATTGGGATTAGGCAGCTATGGTTCACGCTCTGGATGGTGTATAGGTTTACATTACACATATAGTTTTACATTCACATTTAACTTCCTAAATGTGTGGATGACTGTTTTAATCTAATGCAGACAGATTTCCAAAGTGAATCTATCAACATGTGAGTGACTGGAGGGAATTAAACATTGTATTTGCTATGTAAAATATCAAAGATGCTTGAAATCAGAAACAAAAATAGAAATTGCTGGAAAAACTCAGCATGCCTGGCAGCATCTGTGGAGAGAAAGCAGAGTTAACGTTTCCGATCCAGTGACCCTTCCTTAGAACACCATATGGTTTGTTATATGGTGGCTTTATGGAAATGTCCGTAAATCGGAATGACTGATAAATTTGTTGAGATTTGCATTGAGGTGGAACCATTGACCATATATTAATGCTATAAAAGTGAAAAATAAAATTTCAAAAGTTGTCAAATTGGTGACATCCTAAGTTTTTTTTATACCTTGTTTTGAATGAATAATTTTAAGATCAATATTTTTTATAATATCATAGTGAAGATTTGCAGGGGTGGAGACATCTAAGGGACATGATTGTAAATTAGAAATCTAGAAAGGACAAGTTTTTCTTCATAGCACCCGAAGGAGGCTGTCCGAAGTATAAAAAATCTGGCATCCTGTAAGCTAAGTTATTAAAGAGCAAGCAACAAAAGGAAAAATACCTGAGGCACGCTTGTTCAAAAAGGCATTGTTTAAGCTCATCCTTGTACTAAATTGCTGGAGGTGTGCTAACATCTTTCAAGGAAACAATCATAAAATGGTGCAACAATATGCCTTGTTATGTCTTCTGTGTTTCCATTAGCAATTTTGAAGTTATTTCATAGCTTTTTGACTGAGGATTTGTTTCCATTTACATTTAAAAACAAAACAAATTCTACAGGACCTTGAGGAAAAATGTTTCCTTCACTCTATTTAGGGTATACAATGCATTGCCTGGAAGTGTGATGGAGGCGTGTGTGATCCGAGGCAATCAAGAGGGTATTAGATAAATTTTTGGATAAAAATAATGTGCAAGGGAATGGTGGAAAATATCAGGAGATTGACACTAGGCAATGACCCTCATTTAATGAGCCAGACAGGCACGATGGATTGAATAGCCTCTTTCTGTGCCATAACACTACTGTGATTCTGTAAAAGATGCAAATTGTCTGCTATATTCTACAGAATGAAGACTATTTTATTGTTGTAACTATTGTTGTCATCAGGTTCCCTTTTCTTTCATGAAACAATTTGTTTTTCTCATTTAAGGTAAATGTATATCAGAGACCAGTTGATAAAGTCCTGTATTGTTTTCAACTTAGATAATTAAACACATCTTTGTTTGGAAGTTGCTACAACTGTCAACAGACTTACAATGAAACAAATACATAGTAGGTACAAAAGTCTTTTGCATGAGTCGACAGGCCATTTGCCTACATTTTACATGCACTGGCCAGATGAACAGTCAACTAGAAGCTGATATACAGCTGGAATAAGTCCATCACGCAACCACCACATATTATGGGCCAGCTAAGTTGACTGACTAACAATGGGATTTCCACCTCTCTGTGAGGAGCTACAAGCCTGGCTTGGAACTCCATCCACCATTCTCTGTGAAGTCACCCAGTAGTGGCATTGTCAGGACCACTGAGGAGATCACCGTTGTCCTGGAAAGACAGGTCCTGGGGTTTTACAGTGGGGAGGGATCGGAGAGCCCAGGGATTTGTGATGGGGACTGTGCAGTGGTGGTGTAGATGTGTCCTGGTTTTGGAGGACAGGTAGATACCAAAGAAAGGGCTGTGGCATTTTGGAGAGAAGATGGTCTCCCAGAAGGACAAATGTATGTCTTCACCCTTCCTTCCTGTCTTTTCCCATCTAGCCATTAAAAATAGCCTGCCCATTTCTGCTCAATTGCCTGTGCCAACCATATTATGCTTTGACTGGTGTACATTGAAGTCAATACCTTGTAAACAGGCCTCATTGATCCTTTTATTTATTTACATATGGCAGATGGGCAACAGTCACCCATCTAGCATTCTATGGGGGTGAGTTGAATGGTGAACATGTAGGTCGCAGGCTGATCACTTGATTTATTTTACATGTTTCCCTGCCACTACTCACTGATAACCCTGGAAAGGTCATGTGAAATCCAACCTCCTGTATAATATGTGTAGCTGGTGTAGAACTTAACTTTATGTCAGAGTGCAAAATGGGTGATAGTAAGGCAGTTCCCAATTTGGATTTTATTAGGAAGTGATTTAAAATTAGCTGTTGATACAGTATCAACAACAAAAACAAAGTTGCTGAAAAAACTCAGCAAGTCTGGCAGCGTCTGTGGAGGAAAAAACAGAGTTAATGTTTCAGGTCCAGTGACCATTCCACAGAACTGGCAGTTCTGGGGAAGGGTCACCGGACCCGAAACGTTAACTCTGTTTTTTCCCTTCACAGATGTTGCCAGACCTGCTGAGCTTTTCTAGCAACTTTGTTTTTGTTCCTGATTTACAGCGTCCGCAGTTTTTTCATTTTTTATGTTGGTACATTATAATTGTTTTACACTGTCACACAAAGTCAAGATCTACCTCGATGTCTTTGAAATTAAACCCTTGGAACTGATCCAAAATTTTAGATTTATTGAGATGAGGACCTCAGTTTATGTCCAAAACGACGAGTGTACTATTTTCAGAACAGACTTCAAAGCATGATGGTTACCAGTTAACAATTTTTTTAAAATCTAGTTTGGATCATGAGTACTGATGAGCAGTTCGGTAAACTGAAGTTTACATTCAAGACTTTGAATAAGGCGGAATTCAAGATGGCTTTGTGTAACAGAACTGCGCCCCATGAGTGTGACCCACTGAAGGAACTGCAAGTTACTGCAAATACAGTGAGTTCATGTTGATTTTAAACCACACATTAGTCAATAGGACTAAAGATGCTATGTATGTTCATGTGAAACAGCAAAATATTTTCACCACAAACTTGAGAAGGCTTACAAATATTCAGATGCATTAAATATTTACAAAGTACAGTTTTTCCTAATCCAATTAAAATAAAGCTTAAATTTAATAGTAATTCTTAAAAGGAGCTGTTTTGCATTATTCAACTAAATTAGTTATTTAATTATTTGACACTCACTCAACATTCAAAACCGATCTTGCTTGGCATTTTAAAATAAACATCGTATGGAAAAGAAATCATGTTGTACTTGGTCTTCCTTTGACATAATTTGAGTCATGTTTTTGAGGTAGCTGCTTTTAATAGGAAGACTTGCAATAACCACAGAGTTGTTCATTGATTTACATATTAGTTCCTGCTTCGAAGCAATAACTCATCAAAATATTTTATGTTGCAGATTGGTGTCTATTCTCAAATTTTTAACCTGTCGCAGGAAGACTGTGAGAGGGATGTTTGCATACAGGTATGTGAGTGCTTTCAGGTTAGCAAAGATTTCTCTTCTTAAACTTTAGCTTCGTGTTCTGAAGTTGGAGACTCGTATTGGCTGTGTTTTTGATGTCTTATTCAGTACAAGACAAACCAGAGCAGCCCATTTTACCTGGGAGGGGTTGGAAGCATTGGAACACATGCATTTCACCAAAATGCTTCAAGCAAGGATTTGATCAATAGCAATTTGAAGCAACAAAATCTGGTCACTTTCCCTTCTATAGCCAGGGTGATCAAGATATTTATAGTATGTCACTAATTGCCAGAATTTCCAGTCAGTACACCCAGGGCTACATTTCCTTTAATTAAAAAAATATATAATTATTAATAATTGACAACATAAATTTAAATGATTTGTCCCAACAGGGATGGCGGACAGATATTGAATATTCTGTTCGGATTCAGTTCTGTGACATCATGTGTAGTAAGTAACTGATTTATCTTTCTTTTTTGGGGAGTTTTTCTGCTAAGATGTCTAGTGTGTTTCGCTCTTCTATTTGTACTGAATAATCTGTTTCAAATAATTTGTTACAACATGCAGTTCACGCCTGTGGGTGGCTGCACTGTTGGAGGCACAATCTTTCTGATGTGCCATGAAACTAAGGTCCCTTCTCACAGATTCTATGCTTTTACATCATAGAAGTAGGGCCTTCAGCCATCATGTCTCTGCTGGTCAAAACAACCACCTAATTATTCTAACCAAAAGAACTGCGGATGCTGTAAATCAGGAACAAAA